ACCTTGTATCGCACTATCCTATACACTCTATATCGCACTGCTTTGTGCACCTTGTATCACACTATCCTGTGCACTGTGCATCGCACTATTTTGTGCCTCTCACATCGCTCTATTTTGTGCAAGCTTTATCGCACTGTCTTGTGCACCTTGTTCTACACTGTTTTGTGCATTCACCTTTCATCGCATTGTTTTATGCATTCAACTTATATCGCACTATTTTGTGCACCTTGTTTCGCACTGTTATGTGCTATCTTGTTTCGCACTGTTTTGTACATGCACCTTCCATCACACTGTTTTGTGCACCTTACACCACCATGTTTTGTACATTCACCTTCCATTGCACCATTTTGTACATTCACCGTGCACTGCACTGTTTTCTGCATTCATCTTCCATTGCTCTGTTTTGTGTATTTACATTGCATCGCATTGTTTTGTGCATTCACCTTGTATCGCACTGTTTTGTGTACCTTGCACCGCACTGTTTTGTGCATTCACCTTTAGTTGCACTGTTCTGTGCATTCACCTTGCATCGCACTATTTTGTGCATTTATCGTGTATCACACTATTTTGTGCACCTTGCATCGCATTGTTTTGTGCATTCACCATGTATCGCACTGTTTTATACACCTTGCATCGCACTGTTTTGTGCGTTCATCCTGTATCGCACTGTTTTGTGCACCTTGCATCGTACTATTTTGTGCATTCATCTTGTATCGTACTGTCTTGTGCACATGCATTGCACTGTGTTGTGCACTTATACAAGATTGAGCACTGTTTTGTGCATTCATCTTACATCACACTGTCTTGTGCACATGTATTGCACTATTTTGTGCATTCAACCCACACAACACTATTTTGTGCACCAAGTATCGCAATATCTTGTGCACTTTGTTTCGCACTGTTTTGTGCACCCCACATAGCATTGTTTTATTCACCTCACCTGTACTGTCTTGTGCACTCACTGGGTCTAGGAGACCAACTTAGACGGTGGAAACTAGAGTTCGAATGGCCAAGGCCTAGAACACAAAGGTTCAGAATTTTTGAGACTAAAGTCTGGTTTAAATACCCAAGGGTGTATCCTTGGCTTGAAATCTATTTGGCAGCCCCATAGGTTGAGGTAGTTTGTATGCGCCTCAATTCTAGATACTAAACCAACCTAGTCCATCACCTTGTTGGAGAATAGGAAAAGTTACAAACATAGCCAGGGAGAAAAGTAGTACTCATGGTTTGGAAACGCAGCAAGAAGAAGAAAAAATCCCCAGCAGCATAAGGTGAGTCATCGCCAATTGCGCCTGTAAGATACTTTCACTTCCCAACTACTAAATCATATATATTATTATCTATTACCTCTATCGCATTGCATATAGCATCTATTGCATGCATCTGCTCCATTATCCATTGTATCTATTACATCATACCATTTTATTACCCGCATCATTTCCATGTTAGGCTTAGTTTGGCATGTGCTCATACATTTCCCGCGTTAAAGCATAGCTCTGCATGCATACGCGCCTATTCTACAAGAATTGTGGACTGAGGGTTCCGACACCTTTTCTGTATTAGACGTGATTTGTTTTGTGCCCATACATTTTCTACACTGCTGGAAATTTCATTTTTGGTGGCGTTTAAAAAATGCCGCTAAAGGTGAAAAAAACGCAGCTAATTCTTTTTGTGGCGTTTAGTACCAAATGTCGAAGACGCGACCGTCGTTGTAGCATTATGGCGCTTTAAAAACGTCATTAGATTAGTATGGATGGCGTTTTTAAAAAAAGCTGCTAAATGTGGTAAATAACGATAAAATGACGTCATCCAATATTTAGCGATGTTTTAAAAATGTCATGGTAGATTTTTTCCTATTTTAAAAATATGACTGTTGGCACTATAGCCGCATTTGGGAAAACGCCGTTATAGCTTTTTTTTTTTTTTAGATTGTTCTAATTTTGTTAGATTTAACTAAAAATTATCCCTGTAATAAAGCTGAAAAATAGCAATAATATGGATAAAGTTTTGTGGCTATTTCAATATATTGACTAAATTTAGGCAAACATTGCATAATTATTCTAAACCAAAATCAAACAACAAACACAACCAAAAAATAAAGGGAAAAGATATTTTATCACACACATGTATTACAAACCTGTCAAATAACAAATTGAGCAAGACAAGCAGAAAAATATGATTTCAACAGAACTTCTACATTAATTTTCTACAATCTTGATTAGCACAGTAATAAGCAAATAATTGTAAGGTGATGTAGAAACAGTCTCTCCAAAACATTTGAATCTGCTACACAAGGATAGAAGCGGTTGGCTGAAGCCGATGATTTAGTGCGAATCTTGGCCACAAAAATGATCCAATGACCCATTAGCAATGACATAAGTCCAAAAAGCATTAGCTCTGCCAAAAGGTAAAGACAACCAAAATTAGAGTGATGAATTGAAGAAAAAAAAAAACCGATCTCTAAAACCCCAATACACTAAAAAAAAATGGAAACAAAAATCAAAATGATGAATAACAAAATAGAGAATAAAAACAAAACTCCAATATCTCACATTCCTTGATCTTGTCCAGAGCAGCAAGATCAAGGAAGGTTTTTGTATAAATTAAAAAAAATTTGCAAAACACATAAATGTCAGTGTATATATATATATGTATGTAAATATGGGATTTTTGTATCCCAATCAATGTTGTCACTCTCTTCCCCAGAGGCATTCCCACCCTGCAAATAATTTAAACACCTACAAAGGAAAAGAAAATAAATCACAATTAAAATAGTTGGCCACAAAGATGATTTTTTTCTTTTGATGTAGAAACAGTCTCTCCAAAACATTTGAATCTGCTACACAAGGATAGAAGCGGTTGGCTGAAGCCGATGATTTAGTGCGAATCTTGGCCACAAAAATGATCCAATGACCCATTAGCAATGACATAAGTCCAAAAAGCATTAGCTCTGCCAAAAGGTAAAGACAACCAAAATTAGAGTGATGAATTGAAGAAAAAAAAAAACCGATCTCTAAAACCCCAATACACTAAAAAAAAATGGAAACAAAAATCAAAATGATGAATAACAAAATAGAGAATAAAAACAAAACTTCAATAGCTCACATTCCTTGATCTTGTCCAGAGCAGCAAGATCAAGGAAGGTTTTTGTATAAATTAAAAAAAATTCGCAAAACACATAAATGTCAGTGTATATATATATGTATGTAAATATGGGATTTTTGTATCCCAATCAATGTTGCCACTCTCTTCCCCAGAGGCATTCCCACCCTGCAAATAATTAAAACACCTACAAAGGAAAAGAAAATAAATCACAATTAAAATAGTTGGCCACAAAGATGATTTTTTTTCTTTTCAAGCTACTGACCAACATACCAATAGTTACCAAACATTAAGGCTTTGTTTAATTTTCACTACTGCAAAAACAGATAAATATCACACTTTTTTTGTACGATGTATGCTATTTAATCACACTTTTTAAGTTTTATTAAAGTATGATCTTTGGGAGTGATTAAAAAGATTCATTTTTAATCACACCTTTTAAGTGTGATTAATAACATTTAGATCACACCTTTTAAGTGTGATTAAAATTTAGATCACACATTTTAAGTGTGATTAATAACATTTAAATCACATTTTAAGTGTGATTAATAATATTTAGATCACATCTTTTAAGTGTGATTAATAACATTTAGATCACATCTTTTAAATATGATTAATAATTAATAAAACCTATTATAATATTATTTTTGTACGCGCATTTGAAGACTGTAATATACACTATATACTATATTTTGAATCACAACCATATATTGAATGGAATAACGTCATATATTTCATAAATGAAAATTAAATGTTCAAAAGTACATACAAAGGAATTAATAAAAAGTTTTTAACTGTGATTACATATATTAAAAAATGAAAAAACTAATTTCTTGAATTCTTTAACCATATTTTGCATCACTCTAAGAAATTTCTAACCTGAAAAATAAAAACACAAATTAATTTAGAAACCGCTAGAAGTATATGAATAAACTTACTATTTTTGTAGAGATTGTTCTTGCCTTACAAAAGATAAAATCGGACATTTTCTCATTACACTGACTCTTCATCCCCTGCATCAATAGAAAATGAATAACAACTTTGATTGTTACTAGATAAAATGTTTGGATTACCATATATAAAGATGACAGTATCTATATACACATCTAGCACTCATTTCCAATTTACTTAGCTTCACTCCAGACCACTATTGGAGCACACCCTCAAGTGAATCTAGAGTTGTCTCCTGAAAACCCCACCAATTTAATAGCTCAGACTTAGAGCACAGTAACAGAACATGGTTGCTAGATTCAACTTCACTTTTACAAAAAGGACAGACATTAACATTACTACCTAGAGCACAATTTTTTTGTAAATAGTCAACTTTTATCACCCCCCCCTACCATTAAACCATAATAGATTAAGATAAATCAATCACTACAAGAAACAACCTTTGAAATGAATGTCACAAAGCCATTACTTACACATCAATAGCACACCTAAAAAAGCAAACTAGTGACAGAAAAATAAACCAAAGAGAGTATTTTATAAACAAGTTAAAGTTCCAAGTACCCAAAATAAACAAATGGCTAAACATAATAAACAATAATAGAAATGGCCAGAGAATCAGATTTAGCACTAAAATTGATAATTTAACCAATACATCTACTACAACAACAAGCTAATTCTCACACAATACACTTCATATTACCCAAAAATACATACTGATAAATAAATTAATAAATATATATACTCAATTTTTGATGAAAAAAGAAACTTGAATTCTTGAGGGGTGAAGCGTCCGTTGACTAAAATAGAAACCAAATACGCCCTAGAATTTAGAAATTCAAGTGATCAGAGGAAAGAAAGAACCAAGCTATTATTGAAGGTTTCCATCTATAAAACAAGGCTAAATGGTTATGCAAAGAGCACAAGTTGATCTAGATGAGTACTTTGACACCAACTTAAGAAACATGGAAGACTTGTCATCTAATAACCTTGCTGGACTATCAAACTCTGTCACTTGACCTGCAAAACTAAGTTTCATGAGCTTTCTGTTGGTGTGTGCAGTAGAAACACAACAGAGACTAAAATTTCACTGGGAATTAAATGATAAAAAAACTAAGAATTGTTCTAAAACAAATTCCAAAAGATTAATTTAATTTAATTTATCTTGTCAAAAGATTAAAAGAAAAAGAAATGAAATTTTTTTGGATACTCATGAAAATTAATAACATTACCAAATGCAGATTATACTAAAATTCTTAGGAAAAAGTTCTACAGATTGCAGCAACACTTATGTCCATTAAATAGAAGAAGAAATGGGAAGTATTAGTGTACGCACCATCACTGGGGACCAAAACTAGATCGCTGTCAATAACAGTTGGGATATGATGAGCAATAGTGCACACAGTGCAGTCCCTAAACTTTGTTCAGATGATCTTCTGGATAAGATTATCTGTAGTTGAATCAACTGAAGTGGTGGCTTCATCAAGAACCAAAATTCTTGCCTGAGGTGACTAGAGAACTGATTGATTTAGTTGACATTAAGTAATTGACTATCTAAGGAGCACGGTTTTCGCATCAATTTCCCATCAATTTTTCATGTTAGAATTGTTCAAGTAGTGCAATATTTCAATAATCAAGGGCATCTGGTTTTATTACCGTATCCTTGCTATAAAGTTGGAATGTACACTACTCTCGACATCCAAAGTCCAACTCGATATCTATCTCCATTATTTCTATATCTGGCAAACTATGACATGTATGCATAACAAACTATTATTCCATGTGATCAATTTTATGCACAAATAGTTCAAGAATCTAGTGGCATCTTTGGACAGCCCTATTCACTGCTTGTATGTCATCACCACATTGCTACAAAAATTTAATACAATCTATTTACCAATAGAAGTTTAAAGTAATTAAACAAAAGAAATGATAATTACCTTTATCGCAAGCAATCCTAGAAAGCAGGGTTTGTCAAAAAGGTGAGCCAACAATAAATGTTTTGAATCTCCCTACACATAGTCACAACAAACAAACGACCTTGTCAAAAAAATAAGTTTGAAATTATTAGAGAATTTGCAGATATGGAAAAAACAATGTAGTGATAATCTACGAAAGACCAACAACACTTCAGTACCCCTTCTTCCCAACCCCCCAATCCCAATGAAAAAGACCTATTAAACCAAAATCCCTGACCAATTGTGACAATTTACAAAAATCTCATTAAGTGTTGCCACTTATCAAATCAGCTTTTCTAGCTCTATATAGGGAATTTGGGATTGTTAATTGTCATTGGTTTGTTCAATGCAATATTTGTTGGAATTAAGGGCATAATCGCACTACAGATATTCAAAGCAAAAGAAGGTGCCAAATTCTTTGCAGAATTGCAGATTGGATGAAACACCTTTTGCAGATTGCCCTAATGCTTTATAGGAAGTGAATATATGATGTTTATGACTCCTTTTGCTATTATGTGAAATTTCCAAATGCCTTACGAACCCAGTCATTCGGGCTGATATTTGATACAAAAAATATAACAAATAATCATGCTACTTTACCACGATGAAGAGCTAAGGAGGTTCCTAGATGAGTTTTATGCACTGTTATTGTGTACAACCTATAAAGGACATCATTCATGCCACCAGTTTCTTCATTTAATGATAGCCAGTGTTTTTCAATAGTGTACTTCACTATCACATTCTAAACACGCTTGTAAAAGTAGTCAACCATCCATGTCACTATCTTTAAAGCTTGATTATTATTGGCAAATATGTGTTGATCCAAAAGACCTGCCAGTATCTGTTGATGTAGGAAGTGTTAATATTAATGATATATAATAAACAAATTAATAAACAACTATAGTAGTTTATACCTTGTGAATGGTGTAATATGGTGCCCAAACTGGTTTTATAGCTTCAAAACAATCAAATAGCTCAGAAGGAAAAGTAGAAAGATATCATGTACCCATTTTATCTTGACAGGCAGACAAAGCAGAGACGAGTGCAGACATTTTCTCTTTGAGAGTATCATTGTGGATGCTAGCACACATCTGTGTTGAGGCACTCAAGTAATGGCCATCAATACATCAAAAGTAAGTTGCTTGTTAAAATCATATAGAATTGATACAATTCCAATGACCAAAATAGAGGTTCACAAATTGAAGTCATACACTAGCCACAAAATAGGGACCAAAAGCTATAAAATAAAATAAAAAAAAAAAAAAAAAGGAGACTTGATCATAACAAAAAAGAAACTGTTAGATCATTGCAAATGTGGAACTAATCAATTTTACGAGATCCTTTATGAAATGGGATGACTCAAGGTTTGATATAAACAGAAATTAACAAAATTAACCCAAAGCAAATACACAAAGGTTGCTTGACAATTATCTTAGAAGGCCCCAGAAGAACCCTTCATAGAACCACAAAGCTAAATCACGCAACAATTTCACGCATATTACACTAGTAATTAAAAATTAAATGGAAATATGACAAATAACAAAAACAACATTTACAGCCGAAGAGGATTATTGCTTTCTAGTTGATCAGTTCTTGATTTAAGAATTAATAAAGTAGAAGTTGAATGCTGTAGACCGCCCGGAACTCCGCTCTCCGCGCACGAGGGCGCGAATCGTTTTGTTCTTAGCTACTACAGTTCAGACTCATGTCACGGTTTCGAATCTAATCTCGCAAAGTGTAATGCAAGACTGATAAATCACCAAAGAGTCCAAAACGGCAAATCGTTTTGAAAAATCGATTTTAATAAAGAAGTGCCAAACATAGACTGCTTTGCCAGATATAGAGTCGCCACCTAAATGTTTTGTTTTTGGGAAATTTAGGAAATCCTGACTCGTGCCTAAGGCCACGTGTCCGTCATCACCAGTTTCTTCATTTAATGATAGCCAGTGTTTTTCAATAGTGTACTTCACTATCACATTCTAAACACGCTTGTAAAAGTAGTCAACCATCCATGTCACTATCTTTAAAGCTTGATTATTATTGGCAAATATGTGTTGATCCAAAAGACCTGCCAGTATCTGTTGATGTAGGAAGTGTTAATATCAATGGTATATAATAAACAAATTAGTAAACAACTATAGTACTTTATACCTTGTGAATGGTGTAATATGGTGCCCAAACTGGTTTTATAGCTTCAAAACAATCAAATAGCTCAGGAGGAAAAGCAGAAAGATATCCTGTACCCATTTTATCTTGACAGGCAGACAAAGCAGAGACGAGTGCATACATTTTCTTTTTGAGAGTATAATTGTGGGTGCTAGCCCACATCTGTGCTGAGGCACTCAAGTAATGGCCTTCAATACATCAAAAGTAAGTTGCTTGTTAAAATCATATAGAATTGATACAATTCCAATGACCAAAACAGAGGTTCACAAATTGAAGTCATACACTAGCCACAAAATAGGGACCAAAAGCTATAAAATAAAAAAAAAAAAAAAAAAAAGGAGACTTGATCATAACAAAAAAGAAACTGTTAGATCATTGCAAATGTGGAACTAATCAATTTTACGAGATCCTTTATGAAATGGGATGACTCAAGGTTTGATATAAACAGAAATTAACAAAATTAACCCAAAGCAAATACACAAAGGTTGCTTGACAATTATCTTAGAAGGCCCCAGAAGAACCCTTCATAGAACCACAAAGCTAAATCACGCAACAATTTCACGCATATTACACTAGTAATTAAAAATGAAATGGAAATATGACAAATAACAAAAACAACATTTACAGCTGAAGAGGTTTATTGCTTTCTAGTTGAGCAGTTCTTGATTTAAGAATTAATAAAGTAGAAGTTGAATGCTGTAAACCGCCCGGAACTCCGCTCTCCGCGCACGAGGGCGCGAATCGTTTTGTTCTTAGCTACTACAGTTCAGACTCATGTCACGGTTTCGAATCTAATCTCGCAAAGTGTAATGCAAGACTGATAAATCACCAAAGAGTCCAAAACAGCAAATCGTTTTGAAAAATCGATTTTAATAAAGAAGTGCCAAACATAGACTGCTTTGCCAGATATAGAGTCGCCACCTAAATGTTTTGTTTTTGGGAAATTTAGGAAATCCTGACTCGTGCCTAAGGCCACGTGTCCGTCATCACCAAAGTTGCCTCAGCTCGGGAACTTGGGTACAAGAGGGGAAGGTCATGCAATGAGCACCCCTGCTCGCCCGATCAAAGATCGGCCTTTACTAACATGATATTTTGTTTTTGAAAACACATGCCCTCTTATTCTGGTTAATTAACCTAGAATTACTATATGATGCGTACAGCATACAAGTATAGACTAGATCGCCTAAGTTGGAACAAAACATTTCATGTTCGTTTGTTTGAAAATGGTTTGAAAGTGCTACTCGCAAGTAGGCTAAGACGTGGGTTTTGCCACCCTCAAGTGGGCTTAAAACTCGCATTTTGATGAATTGTTCCAATTTAAGCAATCCAACCTTCATCCACAGGCATTCATGCAATTAATCAAATAAGCAATTAGCCTCATGACAAGCATGCTAAACATGGCAACACTTACACGCATGCAAGGATGCTAAAGCATAAACACCCACAGCGTACTCCGAGCCAAAACAAAGAATTAGTTAGAAATTATGCATGATCCCAGTTCATGTTAAGATGGCTAATGCAACACATGCAAAAATGCAACTCAGATAGGCTCAGCTATTCTAAGATGTCATGTGGATGTAACTTGATAACATGCTGTTGAACACGTATTCAAGTAAATGTCTTGAAATACAATGCAGTTTGTTGATGCGCCGAGCCCGGTGCATGCAAGACAGATGAATAGATGCATACATGCAAGCATAAGGATGCTAATTGAAACATGCCCTAAAACTAACCATCGTAAGCAGTTAAGTAAAAGGGAGAAAGAAACGGGGTTGGAAGACATAACATCGCCCTCTCAGAGGAGGGTCCGAATGAATTTTAGCTAAGTTAAGCTAATTAAGTACAAACCAAATTAAAACTAGTTAAACCTAGCTAATCATAATATTACAAAGATGGAATTAATTAACAAATACATTAACTAATTAATTTACAAATTAACTAACTACACAAAGTAGTTAAAACAGCCTCGAGGAGAGGGATGTATGCATGCTCGGTTGACTTCGCTCGAAAATCCATTACCATGCCTCATGTTGCCTCTGTTTGCACTATTCTGTATCTCTGAAAATTATGCCAACTACCATAGTGCTTTTGACCCACCTTAGGAACAATCTGAGAGGTGGTCGGCCAAGAGGAATGGCCATTGGCTAAGTATAATGATCATCGGCCAATTTTTATGGCTATCGGCCAATTTCATAGTCGATCGGCAGCCTAAATGGTCGATCGGCCACTGCTTCCTGCAAATTCCTCCTTTTGCTGCAACAGAGCACTAACAGAGGCATGGCAATGTATTTGCAAGAAAATGTGTGTACAACCACACTCCTTATCATGTTCAAGGCTCAAAGGAGTGTAGTGCTCGACTCTTGAGCCATCAATCATGCATCTCGATGCATGATGGCCAAAGAGGCCGAGTTGCACAAATGAATGTCAAATGAATGCACAAAAACACACAAATGCCTTAACCTCTATCATGCACGATCAAGAGGGTCGGCGACCGAGAAATGAGGCATGTTTCGTCACTTCAAGTATGAAACGTCCCTCGTTTCTCGTGTTTGGACTAACACCCTATCCAAACACAATGCAACACAAGTATGTCAAATACAATGCAATGCTTGCAAGCAAACAACAATGCAAACAACATGCAATGCAAACGACATGCAAGATAGACTTAAACCGGATATGGATAGATCTCAATCATGTCCAAAACAGTGGCCATTATGCTAAAATGATGGCATGAAAAGCATGAAAAGTCAAGACAAGCATGCATGCCAATTGGCTCAAGAATTAAGGCATAAAGATGCAACTCTTAAGAGCACTTAAAGAGTGAAAAGCATGGAAGTGTGACAACACTATAAGCTCTGAAATCAAGTATGAAATGGTGCCAAACCACTCAAACAACACAAGCACAGCATGCTAGGGTCCTTAAAGCATTAAAACTAGCAAAGAGGACTATAGAAGAGGCATGCAATGCATGGCACAAATACATGAACCAACTATGGACAGAGCTCAAATAGGTCTAAATAAAGACCAAATTATGCTGAGATGGGGGCTGAAATGCTTAAGCATGCATGCATGCCACAAACAAAGCAACAATGCACAACCCTTTAAAGCATTCAAAGAGTGAAAGAAATGGGAACGTGGCAATCGTATATGCTCTGAAATGTCATGGTAAATGATGCCAAATCATGTACATGATACAAATGGAGCATGCTATGGTGCCCAAAGCTTGAAACTGGCAAGGCCAATTGCACTATAGCTATACAAAACATGAAGTATATGGCAAATACAACCCAAAAAAGTTCTAGAGCATGTCAAAATGATGCTAAAAAATGTATGGAGGGAAGCCAAAACAAGCCAACATGAAGGGCCAAAACATGGATTATGCAAGGGCAATAGGGAGGATTACACTACACCTACCAAAACCAAGCATGAGATGGCTTCGCCAACAAAAATAGAGTTATATCATGGCAAAATAACCCCAAAAACACACTGAAATGATAGCTCGCAAGCTTAGGCATGAAGGCATACGCAACGGCTCATGTTTAAGGCATAAAGCATGAACCTTCCAAAGCATGGAAAGAGAGAAAGATGTGAGAACATGGAAATTAAACATGCTCTGAAATCACATAACAAATGATGCCAAATCATGTAAATAGTCCAAGCAATGCATGCTAGTGGCTTGGAAACTCAAGGCTAGTGAGCTAAAATGCACTACGGCTATACAAAGCAATGCATGCATGACCAAAACAACACAAATCAGACCTTAAACATGGTAAAACATGGCCAAAAGCTTCTCGGAGTTAAGCCAAAATCATGCTAGAATGATGAGCTTAAACATGATACACATTAGGCTATTGAACGGAATTGCACTACAAGTGCATGGAGCATGCATGGGGCTATCAAACCAAACCTTAACAGAGGTATATCATGGAAAAATGACACCAAGAACATGCTGAGATGTGGCCAAAACATGCTGGAAAGGCATGCTCAAGCATGAGACATATAAGACTAGTTTGCAAAATTTACACTACAAGTGTATAAACCATGCATGAGGTGACAAAACCAAATCAAAACAATGGTATGCCATACTGAAATAAGACCTAATACATGCTAAGATGGAGCTAAAACAAGCTTGACAAACATGCCACTTTGATGAGCCATCTATACAAGCATACAAGACACAAGGAGAGGGGATGACCCTCTCCTATTTAAGACCTCAAAACACACTTTCCACCACTAAAATTCCTCTGAATTAAGTTGTAGAAAGGTCATGCAAAGACTAAAACAAAAGCCTAAAGAGGTGGCCCAAAACAAGGCACAAAAGGGGATAGACCACCCCCAACACCAACAAGACCTTAAACAATCATTTCAAACACATGAAAATGAAGCTTTTTACAGTTGAGAGTTAAGCCAAAATAAGCATGCAAACAAGGCTAAGTAAGTAATGAACACAAAGCTTAAAAGAGGGTTAGTGACTCACCCTTGCAGAACAACTTCAAAGAGGCAACTCCAGCAACTTTCTGAGCTAAAAACCAAACTTTGAGTTCAAACAAGACCCTCAAGTACCTCAGCAACAAGAGTATGGTGTTTGAGTAGGTGCTTTAGTGCAAAAGTGTGAAGAAATTACACTTTTGAGCACAAACAAGTGCAAATATAGAGAGAGATGAAGAAATATAGAGAGAGAGTGATATATAACTTGTATCTCAATTTTTCAGAACCTCTGGAAAGGGAGAGGGGCCTCCCTTCTTATAGAAAATCAAGTCCCAAGCTTGTTGAGCAAGCTTGGAGCTTGTTAAAATCCAGCCATACACGTGTATGGAGGATACACCAGGTGACCAACAGTTGGCACTAGCTGGAAGAAAAATATCTGTAAAAGCAGAAAAAGGGGTCTCAGCCAAAAAAATGGTCGATCGACCAAAAAGAGTGCCAATCGGCCAACACTTATGGCCGATGGCAAGAAAACATGGCCGATAAGCACAAAGCTTGGCCGATGGGTTGTAGGGTTGGCCAACAAGCCACCCCGTTCCCTCAGAAACAAAATCACAAGCTCTTGGTCCACAACCAAGCACAAAACAGACAGGTTGAGAGGCTCCAAGGCAAGGCGCGCAGCCGAGACCTTAAGAAACTCAAAACGAACACGAGCATGGATGATCATCGAGTGTTCAAACGATGACGTCCAAGTCTTGAGGACGGTAAAAAATGAGGTGTCTACAAATGCCAATTTCATACATGACACAAAAATAAGACTTCATTGACATAGATACTATAAAAAGACAATAAAAGAAATTAAAATTTTATTAGCAAATTTTGTTTAAGGACCATGATAGAAACACATTGAAATGTAGCAAGAACAAAAGATATGAATATAAAACAAAAAAGGGATGCGATTAACAAAGAAAAACTACCAACCTACAAAATGACCCCGAAGTTCGCAATTTGGGTCTTCCCAACCTCCATACGATCCAAGTTGAATATACAAGTTTATTCAGAAACTTACAGATATATCTATCATCCACTTCCCTATTCCTCTACACCTATGAATCTATGATACCTAAATGAGCACGAAACACCAAAATCAAGATTCAAAATACAAGAAAAACATGATACTTGACAAATTTGCACGAAGCACCAAAATCAAGATCCAAAACACAAGAAAAACACAATACTTAATAAATTTTTAAGGATTTCACCTTTTGAGGAGAAAGCTTTCCTTATCTGGGAATCATATTCCTTTCCACCAACATTACGATGCCAAGACACATACACACACACACATGGAGAAAAGCTTTGCTATCTTTTTTTTCTATTTGGATTTTCTATGCTCCTAATGTTTTAGGGCATCTTAACAATTATATAACTGCTAATGCAATGCCCACCCCACCTCATATTGTCGCCTCCAAGAAAAAAATTATTTAGGCACTTTTTTACTTGATTTAAAAATAATAAATAAATAAATAAAATGACGACACAAAACTAAACAAACACACAATCCTAAATGAGCACAAAGCACCAAAATGTAGACCCAAAATATAAGAAAAACATATGCAACTATTATTTAGAAGGATTTCACCTTTTAAAAGGAAAATGCTTCCTTAACTGGGAATCATATTCCTTTCCACCAACTAACTCCTACCACACCAAAAGCTATAAAAAAAAAAAAAAAAAAAAAAGTATGACAACACAAAGCTTAACAAATACATAGTTCTAAGATAGAAGAATCCACAATTTCGTAGATATACATGAATCAAGCACCACACAATGTATCTTCCAATAGCTTCTTCAACTATTCTTAGACCTCCATCAAACAAGTAGTGTGTATAGTCAACTACAGAAAAACAGAAAAGGAAAAAAAAATCCCCAACCAAAAAGGTTTCATCATATTAACTTAATCACCGAAGTAGTAGCATTTTCACATATGAAGTATCCTATTGACACATTAATAAATCAACCATCTGCTAAAAAGACCAAATTTCATAAATACGTTATATATATTCTAAATCCCAACTTAGGAGCCAAAAGCACAGATTTGTATACAAAAAACAATGCAAAATATGAACTAAAAGAGAGGGAATTTGAAGGAACTGACCTGAGGAGTAAACATCAACTGTGAGTGAGTGAAAAGATTCATTTCTCTACCATCACACCTGTAAAACACGCACACACACAAAAAAAAAAATGAGCAACAAATCACAAAGCAAAGAAACAAATCACAACCAAAACCAAGAGAATAATTTTAATTAAAGGACTTTTTTAGTTACTCTTTTTACCATAAAAATAATTTTGTTAATTCACTATTGACACATTAATAAATCAACCATCTGCTAAAAAGACCAAATTTCATAAATACGTTATATATATTCTAAATCCCAACTTAGGAGCCAAAAGCACAGATTTGTATACAAAAAACAATGCAAAATATGAACTAAAAGAGAGGGAATTTGAAGGAACTGACCTGAGGAGTAAACATCAACTGTGAGTGAGTGAAAAGATTCATTTCTCTACCATCACACCTGTAAAACACGCACACACACAAAAAAAAAAAATGAGCAACAAATCACAAAGCAAAGAAACAAATCACAACTAAAACCAAGAGAATAATTTTAATTAAAGGACTTTTTTAGTTACTCTATTTACCATAAAAATAATTTTGTTAATTCAATTACCTTATGAATTTGTGATTGCTTGTCATCTGCATCTGCATTGTCAACTGGTTGGATGAGAGAACAATGTCATAATCATAAACATTATTTTATTGTTGCGCAACAAATCATCACAACAAGGTCATCAAATATTTTCATTGAGAACATTCTTTTACCCATTTCTCATGCAACCAAACATTGAAAAATGAAAAAAATAAATGAAAAAAAAATTTTCATCCAGTTATATGATGATCAAACAAATGGAGCTTGAGAAAGAATGATATGCGGAGGATAACCATTATTACCTTAACAAATCTAGGTTGTAAAACTTCTGGGTTCATCTCTTCAACTTCAACTTTAAATGCACTAACAAACACAAAAGGAAAATCATAAAATTCAATTGTTTTGAGTACAGGAAAAAGTGAAAATGCTGAAAAAAAATTGAACATCAATAAAAATGGATAATAGATATAGACAAATTTCAAACGGGAAAAAAACATTAATAAGAAAATCAAGAATTCTAATAGGACAATTTTATTATATTTTTATTGGATGAAAGGTCAACAAAAGGAAGTAATTGAATCATATATATAAGTGAAACATGATTATAAATTAAGGAAAATCAACAATGAAAATCACTTTCCTTTACTATAAATATACATGTGTTTAAGGCAAAGTACAGTAACACTTAAAATTATAGCCACATTTATAGGCACATACCTTGGAAAACTTCTTGTCTCTCTCATAATCAAGGCCAGATGTAGCATTTTGCAAGGTCAGAAGCAATACCTAACAATTGTGAATTAGCATAGGATTATAAGATGCTACTTCCATCAAAGATGCAGATAAAAGCATGTGACTTCACATAATGTATGCACCTTCATTGGAGGATACTTCGAAAAAGGAGCATGGCCATAGGCAAGCTCTAAAGCAGTAATGCCAAAAGACCAAATATCAGCCTTGTAGGAATATTATTGAAATAAGAACAATTCACAGTATGTAATTAAAAAAATAAAAAACAAGAAAGAACACTTGCAAGAAACATGTAAACAAACTTGAAGTCATAACCATGTAATTGCTTCATAACCTTAGGTGCCATCCTGCAAAACAAATAATCATCCACTAATTAAAGAATATACAACATACAGAAACAAGAAAGAAGTTGACCCTTGGATTACACTATATTGAGATATAAATAATGTGATATTGGATCCCTCTTATAGAAAGGGTAAACACTAAACAAGTATATTCACAAAACAATGCGCTTGGTCTTAAATGATGCAAGCTAAAAAAAAAAAAGGCACTAACTCATGCTAATTCAACATAATGTGGTAATTACACGTATCATACTGACTGCACCAGAAACATGATTATGCATTTTCACCTGAGTATCACCCAGATGATCTAGTAAAAAGCATCTTGACCATTGCCATCCAGGTTCGTTGAAACCTATTGAAACTAGTAATTCCCTATGACCTGTTAAACCACAAGAAACCAAGTAAGAAAAATGATAGAAAAGAAAACATTATTATAAGAAAAGGCTTCCATATCTCTGTAAATTTTAAAGAAAAAAGAACTTTGCTAAAGATAAACATTTTTCATCTACCTAGTTGAGAGTTGAAAGAAGTGACAATATTTATGATACAGTCAGCCAAGCAAACAAAGTTGAATTTGACCATGAAATTTCATCTTTAGACCTTCCTCACTCACTTTGTTTTACAACCACCACATGCTTATGAAGTGGTTTTTAGGTCTGGAGCTTAAGCATTTTTCCAACAATCCCCACCCATTTATTAATGCAAAGCTTTAAAAAAAAGAAAGAAGAGAGAACTTGAAAAAAGAGAATGTATCAAATGGTTACAAATACACAGGCTGACTTCATGGAGAATAACATAAGATAATGAGGAGAAAGGACACTATTAGCTAAGTCTACGCAAATGGATTTGAGTTTCATTGCTAAACTCTTTAATAGATCAGAGATGTAGAGCAAGTAAATATTGTTAAATGTACATATCTTCCCTTTCAAGAATACTTGTGATCTAGGTTTTAGTTTTATCCAAAACAACCGTCCCATTAAGGTATAACCAAAGTGTGTCTGTACCAATTTATTTTTTAAAATGGAGCTACAACAATCAATCAATGGCAATAATCTAAATCCCTAATTGTCCAAGTCCAAATTAAAATAAGAAACATAATAATATCACAACAAAAATAATAATTTGAGAGACAAAGATTTGTGAAGAAAATTAGTAGCAAATAAATTATGCACTCATAAGCAAGAACTATTGAAGCAGAATTTTCAACTAACATACATTAACCACTTAAGCTAATTTTTCAACTCGCTGCAAATTAAAATGAACTTAAACCAAAGAAAAAAAATTTAATTCAAGAAACTAATTTTTATACAATCACATGCTTTCAAAATTAGTTCAAGAACTTGGAATTCCCTTAGGGTTCTCTAATTTTATATTCAAGAATTTTTTTAAAATTTTTTTTTTTACAATCACAACTAAGTTAAAGTATCCTAATTTTTGTAACAGGACATCAATTGTTTTAGAATAACAAATTTAAAAAAAAAAAAAAATTGTGTTCAACCCATTAAAGAACCCAATTTCACAATAAGTAATTGACATTGAAGATATTTTTCCCAATTCAGATTCAAGAAGTTTATAAAAAAGAGAAAAATTCACAATCTAAAACAATATAATCACATGCTTTCAGAATTAATTCAAGAAACTAGAGTTCCTTAACGTTCACTAATTTTACATAATTTTGGAATTGCTCAATCAAAACCTTGATTTTTTAGTGAAAATCCCCAAATTAAAATCCTAGTTTGAATCAACAAACTTGGTTGAAGAGTGGAAGGGTTCTTTGCGTGTGTTCGTCTTTTCCGTCTTCTTTCGTCCACCTTCTCTCTCCGTCGTTACTTCTCTTACTTTGTTCTTTTCTTTTAGTTCAGAGCTCTGTCTGTGCGTATTTTCTTTGTCCATCTTCTCCTTCTCACTCATTGTTATGCCGGTTGGGGTTTGGGTTTAGGATTTGGGGTCTGATGGAGAGAGAGAGAGAGAGTGAGGGTTTTGAAGAGGTTTTTGCAAAAGAAAGAGAGGAGGGTTTGGAATTTGGGGTCTGATGCAGAGAGAGGGTAGAGATTTGACGAGTTTTTGCAGAGACATGAAACACACAGAGAGAGAGAGAAAGAGAGAGAGAGAGGAGATGGTACAATGGAAAGAAAGTGAAAGGGTTTTAGGAATTGTATATTTTATATAAAAATTAAATTGAAATATTTTATACAATCACACTTATTTAGGAAGTGTGATAAAATATATATATATATATATATAATTACACTTATTTAAAAAATATGATTAAAAAGTAATAATGTATATATAATCACACTTTAATTAGAATGTATGATTAAAACATAGGGTTCTGTTTAAGTGTGCAACCCCCTTAAGGTTGCACACCATATGCAACCCAATTGCTAGCCGTTAGATTACAATAATTGATCAAGACCACTGAATTGTTTAATTGTGAAAAAGTTGGAACCGGGGCAACCGGTTAATGCTTGTATTTGCATGATTGCATCCCACTCACTCTCTGTATTTTGTCCCTATCTCTCTTTGTTCTCCTCTCTGTGTAAGGTTGGGTTAATGTAACTTCGTTCCATTGACGAAGCTCTGTAGGGAACAGTATAACGGGCGATTTCCAACAACAACGTAACTACAAGCCTGTGTTGGTTCCATTGCTGAAGTGAAGCCCTTCTCTCCAACTAGATATGAGGTATGGAGCTGTCTCCCTCTCTCTGTCTCCCTCTCTGTTTCTCTGGCCTCTTCACTTTAGCTACTTTCCGTCAACTAAACCCCCATCCTAACTTCAACCGCTCTATGCTTCGCTCAAACAGAAACCCCTCCATTGGCAACTAACCTTTCTCTTTCTCAAGCGAGTGTTTGTGTTTGCACAAACAACTAAACCGTGTGAAAATGTCACGTTTGTGTTTGTGTTAACATTTTTTGGTTATCAAGTAATTGTTTGTAGTAATGTCATGTGCAGTATGGCCCGAGCAGAAGTTCAAAGGGAAGGTGATGATTACGACATTCCAAATGAAGCAGATGACATTTGTTTGATGAATGAAAGTCGGGTGGAACCTTATCATGGTTGCGAAGCTGGTCCGAGCAATGAAGAAGCAACCAACATGAACGTTGAAGATGGCGGAGCCGATGTAAAAAAAGAAATGGTTGACGATGCTCATGGCAATGACATGGTTGGTGATGTTGAACGTGCTATTCTGGAACAGAAATTTGATTCGGTCGAAGATGGAGAAGATTTCTACAATGCGTATGCTAAAGCCAAGGGATTTAGTATACAAAGATCTAGATTTAACACAAATAAAGAGGGAAAGGTCGTTAGTAGGCTGTGGTTGTGTTCAAGGGAAGGTCAGAGATTACCAAAATACTTGGACCGTGTTGCTGAGAAGAGTAGAGCTCCCAAGGCACTAACAAGAGTAGGTTGCAAAGCCCAATTTCGCATACGGTATGATGCAGATGCTGGTGAAGGGGGAAAGTATGTTGTGACTCACTTCGTCGCAGACCACAACCATGAATTGGCGGAACAACACTGTGTGATGTATTTGAGGTCACATCGCAGTTTAAACATTGCTGGCAAAGCTCAAGCAATAGCTATGCGCAACATCGGTGTGAAGACTAGCCAAATCATGGACTATATGGTAAATCAATCCGGGTCTTATGAGAATGTTGGTTTCGTCCGTACAGATCTGCACAACCATTCAAGCCGAATGTAGAGCAGAAGTTGATGATGGTGATGCGCAGGGTGCGTTGGTTTACCTATGTGCAAAACTTGATGTTGATGCATGTTTTTTTTACAAGTATGATGTGTGTAACGATAACAAGTTACAAAATCTGTTCTGGGCAGATTCGAAATCGCGGGCTGACTACGCAAAGTTTGGTGATGTGTTGATATTTGACTCAACTTACAGGACCAATGCATACAAGAAGCCTTTTGTCATGTTAGTTGGTGTGACTAGCCACTTCAGGACCACGATATTTGCATGTGTTTTGCTAGCTAATGAGACAATTAAGACATACACATGGGTTTTGGAAACATTTATGGAGACGATGGAATAAAGCACCTGTGTCCGTACTGACAGATGGGGATAAGGCGATGCGAGAGGCAATCAGAAGAGTATTTCCAGATACAAGACATCGATTATGTAATTGGCATCTTGGGAAAAATGCTGTTTCAAATGTTCACATAAGTGGCTTTGCACATGCTTTCAAGCAGTGCATGGACATGGAAACGGATGAGACAAAGTTTGAGCATGGCTGGACGACAATGGTCGAAAAATTTGGACTTCAAACCAACAGTTGGGTGTTGGAGACATATGAGAAGCGTCATATGTGGGCTGAGGCATATATGCGTGGACATTTCTTTGCTGGGATGAAGAGCACTCAGCGCTCGGAGTGTATGAATGCTTATTTCAATCCCTTCTTCCAACGCAAATTGAAGCTATATGAATTTGTTAGGCACTATGATCGGGCTCTTGCAAGGATAAGGTATAACGAGGCTGGAGATGATGCTGAAACAAATAACACTTTTTCGGTATTGATTACTCCATTGCGAGATATAGAAAAACATGGAGCTGAGCTATTCACCTGAAATATATTTACAATGTTCCGTGATGAAATCTTAGAAGAGGGGAAGTTGAATGTCAAGGACGTGTTCCCTTTGCCGGATGGTCAGAAATGCTACTATATTCATAAGTACAAAGTGAAGGACAAATCATGGATAGTAACACACAGTCCAGTGGATGCTACAATGAGATGTCCTTGCATGAAGTTTGAGTCGTTGGGGCTACCTTGCTATCACATGATATGTGTTATGAAAGCCGAAAATTTAACGCAAATTCCCCCAACTTGTGTGCTGCATAGATGGACAAGGGCTGCAAGCAACGATGGCCAGCAATGGCCTCAACCCTCAATTGATAGCACTACAACACAGACGGCCCGGTATGGGATATTGAGTTCTTCCTACAACGAAATGTGTTTCTATGCCTCGCAATCAACGGAAGGTTTCAAGGATGCTAGGGATGCATGTCTTCCGATGACGAGCCGGGTGAAGGAGTTATATGAGAGGAATTTGAACGGTGGGAATGGAGACAAAGGGAAACATTCATTCCGTCGACAATTTGGAGTGGAAGATCCTGATGTTGTGAAGACAAAAGGGAACCCGGGACGGGCCTCGTCCAACTGTCGAAGACCAAGAAAATGTGGGAATTGCAAATGCATTGGGCACACAAAGCGAACGTGTCCTAAGGTTCGGTTTAGCCGAACAGTGGGTACTAACTTAGATGCAGATACACCCCACATAACTGAGAGTGAGTACAATGCGGAGTCATTGTCCGTTCGCAGCAAAACTGGGTTGGTGGATCCAAGTACACCGCACATTAAGCAGCGGCGACTATTTTTCGATGCTTCTCCTGATTCCAAGCAGCCTGCGGGCCAATACGTTAGTGTTGAAGCAGCAGTGTGAAAAAATGATTCGACCACAATTGATGAGGTGAATCAGGTAATTGTATAATTTGTATGATTTACTTATTCCCTTAATTTATTAGGTAGACAGTACTAGCTATTGAAAACACATGGAAATAATGTATGTATTTTTCATTTTGCACGGATTGCTGTACGTAACGTGTAAATAATTGGTTATGTACAATGCCAGGAAATGGCACAACGTTATTTATGTACAAGGCCACGAGTTGTAAATTTCCCATATTGTTTAGAGTGATGTTGTCATTTGTGTTTGCAGTGACTTGTCATTTTGAAAACTAATTGAAGGTGAGATATATATGGGTTGTTTGTATTGTTTTGGGTGGGAAATTGTCTTATGTCTGTATTCCAAGATTCTTATTGCGGGTTGCTTGTTTGTGTTCCATATTTGGTTGGATCTAACTGAAGGGTTTTTTGCGGTGTGGTTTATCAACTAACGATGTGTTTGGCTTCGCATTGATTTGGTATGACTTGTTTCGGTAAATTAGTATTATATTTCGAGTAAAATACGAATTTTGTCCATGTGGGTTTGCAAAATTACATACCAGCACATGCATTTTGTATATAATCCAAGTGGCAGTTAATTTTGGGTGTTACTTGGAGAAAGTAACCCAACGAACTCGTTACTTTATCTCCATGCCGATTGCTATATGAATTACGAGTTACGAACAGGAGTTGTGAAATTATTTCATGTTAACTACGAAAGTATGGGTTTATTGTTAGTCAAATTATGGTGGGCCTATATCGACAGCAATGATGCAGTAATTTAAAGTTGACAAGTTGAAGAAGAAAATCAAGCAATTGTGGTATTGGTTCGAATGCCTGAAAAGGATGAAGACTTCTTTCGATGAACTGATGGTAACAAAGTAGAAAGTAATAAAGTAGAAAGTACAAAGTAAGTTGTTGTGCTGTTGTGTTGTTGTGTTGTTTGTAACAAAGTAGAAAGTAGAAGGGAAAAAACTACTCAGAAGTTGCAATGTAGAAAGTAAGTTGTGTTGTTGTTCATGTCCTCTCTCTCTCTGCAAACATTCTGCCCTTTATAGCTATTATTTCCCACGACCCCATGATCTGCCGATTCTGCAACTGCTTGTATGCAACTTCTGTAACTGCATGGTCATTTCCGTGTCTTTAAACCACATAAAACCTTCACTTGTACCTGTCGAAGTGCATATAATTGAAGTTGCCACCTGTGCCCAAGTCCTTTTAGCCTTTCCTCGACAGATACAGACTCCAATTCATTCATGTTTCCTCTTGGGGGCTGGCCACTAAATCTATGAGCACTGCTAGTAACTGCTCCAGTGTGTAAGTCAGGTGGCATGCAAGATTCAATGTTAGTTGAATAGAGCAGCTGCTGGGAGGATGTGGCAAAAATAGGTGCAAAGAGGAATTTTGAATCTAATATCCAATAATAATTTAGCTGAAAATATGAGTGAAATTTTTTTAAAAAAAAAGTAGTTTCGGTTTTTTTATTACAAACCCGAGATGTATATTTTGTTTTTGATGTAAATAAGTTGTGTATTTTCGTTACGTAAAATGTAGGACTACAATTGTGTTTAAGTCATTACAATACAGAAAAAGGTTATTTCAAACATAATTTCAAGTTTACCGACATTGAATATATTTTGATTAAATTACAGGGGAAATTAATATTTGGCAGAGTCTGATGATCCAAAGTCAGGGCAGTAATAGTGAGTGGCCAAGTGTTGTGGTTCAGTGGCCCAGTTTGTAAGGATTGTTGTTGTGTTTAGTGGACAATATTCTGTCAATTTTTGTCTCATAATGATGAGGGACATGCCCCACAATGGTGAAAAGGAAGGTCGACAAGGAAGAGTCAATATTTGACAGAGTGGACTTGAAAATTCGAAGTCAGGGGGCAGTTACAGTGGCAGTTATGGTGTAGACGTGTGGGATCATGCAATGATGAGCCACAAAAACAGTATACGGATATCGAAACGAACAATCTCCCTTCTAGGCTTTCCAAGTATACTAAACCTCCACTTGTATCTGTCGATCTCCCTTTTCTTGTGTTTATTTCATGGCCACCAACTGTTTGAAACTTCTGTCGACGGAGCAAGGCTCCTGCTTTGTCTCATGCTTCCTCCTGAAAGTGTGCCCACTAACTCATAATGATGAGGGACATGCCCCCACAATGGTGAAAAGGAAGGTCGGCGGGGAAGAGTCAATATTTGGCAGAGGGAACTTGAAGATTTGAAGTCAGGGGCAGTTACAGTGGCAGTTATCGTGTAGATGTGTGGGATCATGCAATGATAGGCCACAAAAACAGTATACAGATATCGAAACCAACGATCTCCCTTCTAAGCTTTCCAAGTATACTAAACCTCCACTTCTATCTATCGATCTCCCTTTTGTTGTGTTTATTTCATGGTCAGAAGCTGTTTTAAACTTCTGTCGATAGAGCAAGGCTCCTGTTTTGTCTCATGCTTCCTCCTGAAAGTGTGCCAACTAACTCCATGACTGGTGCTAAAAACTTCTCCCATCACTTCTAGGTGACCCACATGTAGAGAACCCACTTTGAAGTGGTGGACATTCCTTCAGACTTGGCCACGTGTTCTCGATTAAGTGGACCATCTGTCGATAGAGACTGGCAAAACTTGGTGCAAAGAATGGCCCTCTTGTTCAAGTTAAATATCATATGAATTAACCTTGCGGAAGTGATTAGGACCCCCTCCAATCACCACCTGCACCCCTTCCCCCTCCCCCCACACACACGTGGGGGCTGGTGATTGGAGGAGAAAGAAGAAAAAAAAAAAAGAAATTTTTTTTTAAAAAACTGGCGAATTAGAGAGAGAGGGGTCATGGGGGTGCGCCCTTGTGGGGGTCTAAGTCATATGATATATAACTTCAACAAGGGGGCCATTGTTTGGGCCCAATAGCACCACCACAACCTCTGCTACTACGGTCCGACATGACTTGCCAGCAATGAGTGTGGGGGCTGGTGATTGGAGGAGAAAGGAAAAAAAAAAAGAAGTAATTTTTTTTAAAAAAACTGACAAATCAGAGAGAAAGGGGTCATGGGGGTGCGCCCTTGTGGGGGGTCCAAGTGGGCCCAATAGCAACTTCAACGAGGGGGCCATTGTTTGGGCCCAATAGCAAATTTATTAGTACGGGCCCCATCATAAGCTATAAAAGACCCACCCTTTCAACTTCAAACCACTTCATTTCCCTCTAATTCGAACTCCCCAGACTGTACTCCTTTTTCTCAAGCATTGTCGTT